AATAATAATAATCACTTTATTTAAGTGTCGGTGTATTTAGCACTAATGTGCTAATTGGGGACACTGTAAATAAATAAACAAATATTTCAAATATAACATGAAACCTTGCGAGGACTGTCACGGACGAAATCCGCTCGCCATCCAAAATAATGCATAATCTGCATAATCGGAAGTATGACATGTCACCTTCGAGTCGTCACGATCATGTTAGATTCCAAGAAAGTCAACCCGCGAGCGGACTGGACCGGAGTAGTTTGTAATCTTGCCTCAGTCGCGGTCGGTGTATTAGCTGCTTTTCAGCGCTAATAAACTTACTGAATACAGCTCTGAGTGACATGAACAGACACAAGATGCGAGTTATAGAAGCCTTACTTTTCATATTAACAATTCAACAAGGTAAGCCTGCTTGAAATTCAATGCGCAAACAGTCCACATGAATCAATTATCTTGATCAGTAACGTTAACACCTCTGTTAGCTTAAAGACCTTTAAGTGTTAGTATTTTAGTGCAATATGATTTCTGTGTCGAAGTGATCGTTGCATTCAATTTCTTGACTTGCTTTGCTCTGATATCGCCGGCGCAGTTTTTTGCCTGTCAAGCTCATCAGTATTCATTCCTGAATCGAACTAGACTTTCGCGGTAGTATTGAATTCCAGATGCCATTTTTGGTCGCGCAAAATCGAGCAGTTACTCTGCTCGATCTGATCTCTTGTAACTTGAACTTTCAACTTGTGACACATGGAGATGTAGAGTGAAAGACGATGTAGTAGAAGAATAAGTTGTTTTAAGGAGCTTTGATGTCGCAGCAGTCAGCGAGAAGTGGCCTGAGCTGATGTTGGAGGCGTAGTAAATCGAACGTTCGGAAATCGAACTCAATAGAGCCCAGTCGAACCAAATCGAACACCGAACTTTGTGTGAGTTCAATTTCCGATCCAGTCGAACTCAGTTGAACAAATCGAACTGAACTGAATCCACTAGATTGTGTTTTTTGGGTTCGGCAGCCAACTCAATCAAACACAATCCAATGGATTGCATCCAATTATTGTTCGGTGAATAAATTTGCTTGAACAGAGGATATGTTATGTGGACTCAAAAACAGGAAAAACACGTGTTATTCTGAAGTAACTCGAGCCTTGAAAAACTTGTTATAGATTTTCAATACCAGTTTTACAAAAAATCAAGAGTTCAGAAATCAAAAGTTTGATTTAGTTAGATGGTCCAATCATTTTGTGTGAGTTTGATTTGGTTCGATTGCCGAACTCAAGTCTTGGATTGATTTCAATTGAGTTCAATTGAAATACAGTTTGATTGGGTTTTATGCCGGGCCCTTGTGAAGAAAGAGATAGCAACCACATTATCTCTGTCTAACCTCTCATTGTTCTATTTTAGGTTGTCTAAAGAGAAACATTTGCCCGGCAGTTAAATCTATTACCTTTGCCCTTACTTCTGCTTTTAGTTCTTTTAGAGTTTAGCATCTGCTGGATTGAATAAAGCATTTTCTTTTCCCAGCCTTTGGGGGATAAATGAATGTCTTATCAGTCAATATGATGAGTTAAATGGCATTTTCCCATTGTAGCCAGTTTTTTTTTTTTTTTTTAAGTAAGAAACAGCTAGCCATAATATGGCTAGCTGTTTCTATGTAGGTATTAGTTCTTATGTCTATGAACTACTGTAAGCATAAATTCAAATTTAACCTTCTCTTTCAGCATGTCCAAAACCGCACTTACATTTGTTTAATTATAAAGTCTAAACTGATTCTATGCGTAGGTCAAGTGATGCGTGTTATGTTGCTTGGATTACATCACACCAGGAAAATGCTCAAATAGTATATCGAGAGTAAATTCAACCAGTAAATTGAAATTTCCTCTTCGTCAATGAAGGCAAACATTTCCCTCAGCTCTTGTACGTAGAGACTATTCACTATAAGAAACAACTGAACCTGAAGAATGATCAACGCAGTAAATTTTCCAATTTAAGCAATTGGAAAGAGGAAGCCTGAAAAAAAAAAATCAGGGCTTCAACGGGATTCGAACCCATG